GATCCTAGGTCTCTATCACTTATGGTTTACAAGATAGAAATGCATATCACTTATATCAAATGCATAAGGGGAAATAACTCTCATATGGAATATTCATATCGCTTCGGTCAAAATAGGACAAATAATGCAAAGGATATAACGAGCAATTTTATAAAATAAATCTGTCGCTTTCTTTTACGGTTACGGAGGAGATGCAGCCACAAGGAAAACAGTGTTCGGGGAGATAACTCCTACAAAGAAAATTGTTCGGCTAAGAATGGGTGAAAAAAAGCGCATAAACTGTATGATACTATATAAGAAATATCTAAGCGACATCTTGCGAAACAAAAATTTTACGCGAGAACAAAATTTGGCGGAAGAAAATAATAATAATCAGAACAAATACAATAGGTCTTTCCACAGAAAAGTGGAAAGACATAATTAAAGAAAAACAAACTGAACCTTAAAGAATCGTTGAGGTGTGTAACATTTTTATTTTTTAATATATTTTAGCGGTATGTTGACGATTCTGAAAGAAAAATTAAATGTTTGGGGTTGATGTTTGTGATGTCGTATAACAGAAAAAATGATTATGCATATGCAATAGCAGTGGTGAAATACTAATACAGAGTCAGAAATAAAATAACGAATGTCTTTTATAGAGACTGAGTGATGATAGATACAGTCAGAGATAAGATAATGAATTTCTATTGACAGTAATTAAGGATCTAAATTTTTATCAAACTTAAATATAAATAAGGAAACAAAAACAATAATTATACTAAATGACCGCTATGAAATCTGGTAGTAAGTTTTCTCGTATGACTTGTTTTACATTGTCATGTCGGGGCCTTTTATAGCTTACTATGCGGTATGGGTTTTGCTTTCCTCATTTTTAAAGGCCGTACGGTGACAAATAGCTGTTAACTTCTACGTCACTTGGTCTCTAGTAGAGAGTTGTTTTATTGGCAAACATACTACATCTTCCTTTTTATTTAAAGAAACCATACTCAATCTTATTTAAAAATACAAGTTAACTCTGGAAATTACGACGAAATTTAAAGGCACCTTTTACGTGTGTTAAATGCAGAATTTACAAGTCACATCGAAACAGTTCATAAATGAATATGCGTTTGAGTCCTTAAAATAATTCTAAAGATACGAAAGGATTTACAGACACTGAGTGATAGTCTTTGGAGTTGAGGCGATAACTCACTATTTATTTAAAAATTATGGTCAATGAAATTAAACATATTGAGGATTGATATTCCTCGATGTTTAGCAATAAAATCTATGATCATAAATTACTACCGGTATGTGGTTTGCGAGGATAGATTAGCAATTGTCGAGAAACATATAATAACAGGAAGATGAGTATTATCTATATTCATGATTCTTTTATAAAATTAGAGATGCGTATGTTATTTTTTTTTAGGAAAATGTGTGAGTTTTCCAAAGGGCACGTGTGTCGACTTCCCTCTCCAAAACATATAGTTATAAATGGCAAAGTGAATTCTTTTGTTTTCGGTATGTGAAACAACCCACCTCCCCCTCAAAATAAAATCAGATTAAAAGTTGAAGTTTATGAAGTATAGCTATTGCACAACTTCATGTCCCACCTGAAGAATAATCAGTGCAAGTTTCTGGGAATTCCGTCCACTTGTTTTCAAGGAGTCGAGCCAATATGTAGTCATATGGGAATTTAGAGGGTCTAGTTGACAGAGGTCTTGGGCGTTTTTGGCGACAACTTCTTAAAAAATTATGTTTTTTAAAATCAATATCCGTATAAACGAAATGTTTGAGCAAACTGATTTAAGTATAAAGTTGAGGTTTCAAATTGTTTCTACTCTAAAAGTATGTTTTGAGTTTGTTGCCTGGGGTATAAATAAATTGAGATCAAGCATATCTCGAATATGATAGCCAATGACCAAACCATACAAACCAGTGTAATTGATTTTCCAAAACGGTCTTAGTTCAGAATTAACAAATACGAATACAGCTTAGGGTTTTGAACTATTTTCAAACTGCTACAAACAAATAATCATGATTCATTTCATAAACTTCTTAAAAACAAAGACTGTTTTCACATTTACATTTCGACTTTTAAAAGCCAGGAAGCTACCTCTAATTTCCAAAATAGCACCTCAGAATGGAACAAACAGTGGTTGCCTCTAATTTAGCATGTTGTTCAATCTAATCTAAATATAGAGATATGTTTTCGTTATCCTCATATGCTTATGTGTACGAGCATGCGAGTTAAGATAGATCTGATTTTTAATCAGATTACATGTTGTAATGTTATCGATCGGAAGAGAGAGGGATGGGAGAGAGAGAAATTATTTCTTTAACAAGAAAATTATATCCATATAGAACAGCAGCTTCTTTCAAAATCCATATCAGTTTTTCTACATTTTATATAAATAAACATGATGAGGTAAAATCATGCTTCTTTATGTACCAATTATGATCTGATCGTTCATGCCAAACAGGCATTTAGGTTCACGATTGTATTTCTTTTTTTTAAAGAAAGCAACTTGTTTTGGATTTCGCAGGAGACATCCAAACTAACGAGGCAGACTGGTTTTTAATCAGACTGCTTTGCTGTAGACAAGTCAACGGTCGTATTGTCCACTGATCGTAATAAGTAATTAGTCAAATCTGGTAAGAGTTAAATTCGGTAAAAGCCACGGTATATGGTGTGAGTGCAACACTTTCCATACCATTCCTGTTTAAAGCAAAGGGCCTGAAACCATTGTCACTCGCACCAGGTAACTCGATCCGAATCCAGAGGATCAATGACACGGGACTGCAAATGGTAAACTGGACCCCTGTTGTGTTCACTTATCGCTACACTGACCTTTTTCTTACCTTGGTCTTTTTATAAAACAATAAAACAATTTGAAATAGCAAATAAGAAACATAACCTGCTGAAATTCACTTTTGAAATAAATACTCATACTATGAAATTCTTAGATGTTGTATTGTATAAAGGAAAACGGTTCACCACATCTAAGATACTAGATGTAAACTGTTACACCAAACCCACTGAAAAATTTCAGTATATACATAGAAGCTCGAGTCATGCTCCTACCTGTTTCTCTTCTTTTATTAAAGGAGAAGGGACTAGAATTCTTAGAAACACCAGCAGTAAGGACGAATTTAATAAACGTATTAAACTGTTTATAGATAAATTATCTAGACGGGGATACACGAAAGAAATCGTCAGTCAAATATTGCACAAAATTCGTCACGAAGACAGACAGTTAAAACTTCGGAAGAAACAATATAAGAATAAAATAACAGGCAGAAATATGTTCATTACAACGTAAACTATCATTATAACGTGAATATCTTAAAAAGATAATAACAAAGTTCTGGTATATAATTCGGAAAGATCCGATTGCCAAACAAATATTTAAATCTAAACCAGATATGGGTTTCAAAAACAATAAGAATATTAGCGACATGATAATTAATCATTAAGTCGAAGAACCCCTCCACAGGAGGCTTTATAATATAGTGTATACTGTTGAAACAGATGTAATACAGACATGAAACCGATTTATTTCAATAGATCACGTATCTGAGATAACCGACGGTTTCTTATATGTCCATGTTTCTACCCAGCAGGGTACCTACACATATTTCTTCACATGCTAAACATGGAGACGTTTGTATATTATCATATAGATGATTAAACAAACACGCCAGTATACCCTGAATTCAACAATATGACATTGATAAATACTATCTCTACTATATCCCGTGTAGACTTATGTTGAAGTAACTAGTGATAAAAATAAAGACAATAAGTCTCTTCATTAATTAAACAAAAGTGCTGATCAACTTGGTCAGTTTCTTCAGTCTGTAAAAAGACTAGCTACAACGTAGACCTATATGCACGTGTAGTTAATAAATTAAAAAAACTGTTATGAAACAGACAAACATCTATCTATGATATTAGATATGAAATAAATACATAAAGGTCGGCCTCTGATGAGGGTTTACCTGGGAATACTCCCGAAAGAACCCGAAACATTGCATATTAAATTCTAAAGAATTAAGCAATAAAAAGTACGTAGTGTCAGGTCAGAAATATTGATACCATACCACGATAAGTGGGTTTATGGTCTTTTTATAAAACGTCCAATTAATGCCAATGTGACAATAGCTCCAACCCGTTCCTTCGGTGCGAAGCTATAGATGGAACGGCGGACCAGTTTATGCAAATGGTGGGTAATTTAAATCTGGATCCGATTCCCACGGAGCACAATCCTCCGTGGGAATTGGATCCGGATTTTCCGACCAACCGTTTGCGGTCTTTTTGTAATTGCTCCTCGGGATTCGGATCGGGATATATATATATATATATATATATTTATTTATTCAAGATAAAAGACATGAATTTGACAGACACAAATAAATTAAAATGACATATAGATATAGCACTAGATATGAATAGTTACAAACACTAAAATGATTTACATGTGTACTTAAAATTATAATTTATACAAATAAAATAATGAAAATTGTCATGATATTTTGATAATAGACTAGACTATAATGAGTGAATTATATAGACTAGATTATCACTGCAGCCTAATACCCTAGGATGACCTACAAAAGTTATTGAAACTTATTTCCAGCGAATCCCAGGTGTGAAGGTGCACTTGAAACATATTGAATAGGAAAGATGTGTCCGTAAATTATAACTAACTGGGTTGATCTTTTTATGAGCTTGTTTACATAAATAAAATATGTTTTATAACTCAGATTTAGTTTATCACGATACAATCAAAATTTATAAAAAAATTTATCAAAGTAAGTACATTAAGCTACTTTTAAAGACTTGTCTGTACCAAGTCAATCGTGTACCGCAAATAAAAATTCATTGCAAAATTTAAGTGAGCTTTTTCTTTAATGTTAAATTTATTATTCTTAAAGCATAAATTATATGCATATTAATTACCATAGCGACTGAAATTATTTCTGTATAAATACACTAAAATTATTCAGATGAAGCAAAACTCCAGCTACTGTAGACGAAAGGTAAATTGTCTTCATATATTTTAACATCTAATTTATTAATATTTCTGCATTTCAGTCAGTTTAGTATTCTCTTTTTGCTTAAGTTTTAATTGTAAGGGTTATATGATTTTTTTTAGATTTTATTCACACTAAGGATATTAAAATTAAAGATAATCATAATAATAATTATAAAGAAACGGGGCGAAAGCATTAGAAATTTTTTTTTTTAGAAAAACAGCAAGTTATCTATAAAAATTGTGAAAATTAATTTGAGTAAAACTTTTAATTAAAAAAAGCATAAATCTGATATACAGTAGAAGAAAATATTTGCAAACTCTGGAAAGGTCAATGCAAAGCATATACACTTTTTTTTTGTTGTTGGTTGAATTTGAATTAACTCGACGTGTCCATCTTGAATTAAATTCACCGTACGTGAATGATGGTAATACTTTATATTTATGTCCAGGTGTAAAAATTGGAGTTTTTCAGCGGAGGTAGTTATCTTGTTGACCTGTGTCTTTAGTATACTAGCAACATTCAATTTGAAACCTTTTTTATGTCCCTATATATACATAATAAAGTCTTAAATTATTATAGTGTATTTTACCTAACTGCAAATGTTAAATAAATGAAGTATATATAAGAAGCTATGCGGAATGATCCGTGTAAAAATTATCGGACTACAATAATTATTCATTTGTAAATCTTTTTTGTTGTTGCATACTTAAAGTGGCAATTCCCACATTACATGTACAATAAGAGAGACAGATCTCTAAACTTTATGTACTCAAGAAATGTACGTTTATCTAAATCGCTATTTTTCTTATGTGTAAAATTTATAATTGGTTAAGAAACCTTCTCTTTCGGCATTGAATAGATTTGGGTTTTTTTTCCGGTTTTTTTTTCTCGGATTTTTATATCTATCCGATTTAAGTGTCAATCTTTTTTGATGATTTTTAATGGATGATGTTTTGGGAAAAAAATATTTGAATAATACTAGTAATCTAAATCTTTAGACTGACAAAACAAATGTGAATAAAATCGCAAGAAATGAGAAATATACAGTATTTTTGTTTTAATTTTAGTCTATTGAAAATGTGGAGACAGTTCAGCTTTATGTGGATGGTTCTGATTGGAATCCATGTAGCAAGTATGTTTTAATAAATTAAACGCGATAGAAAATGTTAGCCCTAGGTTTATATATATTCTTGTTTACATTTCAAAAGGTCCACTGATTTGTAATCCCTTTACGTCTATCGACGATGTAAAGGGAGAGACCGTTTTGTCAACTATCATGCTTGAAACATAACAAGAAAACCTCCGTGTTACTAAGTTTTGAACAAGAGCTTATTCTTTGGTGCCGATCTGACATCTAAGATGACCGATATGAGTCAAGATTGGGTTAAAATTCAGAGGTCTTCTTTTGGACAACCCCTCAATCTATTAAAATCAATAAAGATACGAAACATCATTTAAAGGTACTATTGGAGTGTTGTTTCCAATGAAAATTTGCTCGCTTAATGTTGGTTTCATGTTTTACATGAATGTTAAGATTTTCTATATATTTTCCAAACTGTTTAATGTAAAAGAGACGATTTTTCGTTCCCTATTGTTAATTTCCCATTCAGTTTGGACGGTGATGTTCCTTTGGTACCATCTTACGGTGTTTATATATCACAACTCGTTCGCTATGCCCGTTTTGGATTTCAATTAACGTAATCGATGTATTACTGGTAAATTATTAAGTCAGGATTTCGTTACCACAAATAACTTAAAACCTTTACTAAATTCGTCCATAGATACAAAGATTTGGTTTTGAAGTTTGGCTGTACCTGTAGAAAACTTATTTCAAACGGGATAGCACATCCTAATTTTTATGGAGATGTTGTTTACCGAGCCCAGAAATATAAGTACGATACGGGTAAACTTATCGATCCTTTAATAGACTTATTCTAAAATGTTACCAATTCAACACTGTAATTCGATCTTTGACCATTGTTTTTATTGGTATGAATATTGATTTTGTTATCAGTAAACTAAAATCAAACTAAATATTATTGTTATATACATATGCACATTCACGGTACTACAATCTATTGATACCTTTATTTTGGCATTGCAAAAGGTCATGTTTTTCTCTGACTGTTAATGACGTCTTTACACTAAATCCATTGGATGTTGGATGAGCACTAACTGATATTTTAGTCTTAGATGCATGATTTTTTTTATTAGTTATATCGATCTGAAGAGTTAAGGATGTAGTTAGGTGAAATTAAAAAAATATTGAATTTAAAATTGATACTACAAGTCAGAAGAGCATTAGTAAGGAACAAAATAAGCTAAAAATAGTGATAGGTTAATTATCCATGTTAATGTTAAATTTTTAAAACAATACAACAGAGACTAATAATATGACTTCAATTTACTATTTTCTGTTCTTGTAATTCATCTCCATAAACTGTCTATACAGAAGGAATCAAAATGTTGAAATAAAGACGTCCGTAGAAATACCACAAATGACAACCTCAATATTACGCACCAGGGACTTGATTGGATAATATAATTGGCAAAAAGGACATGAAATATAAAAGTAGACTATGTTATTATAAATAAATAAATAATTTCAAATTATATAATCATATCTTTAGTAATTACAGTGTTATTAAATGTTTTATCGACACGTGTCACACTCCATTGATTGTCATCTGTGTGTAATCGATTGAAATTCATGTTTCTGACCTGAGTACATCCTTGAGCCCTTTTCAACTGATTTTTACAGTTTGTTCTTATGATGTACTTTTACGCCACTGTCCCTGGTTAGGGGAGGGTTTGGCGCCAGCAAACTAGTTTAACCTCGCCACATTCTGTATGTGCCTGTCCCCAGTCAGAAACCTATAATTCAGTGGTTGTCGTTTGTTGCTGTATCTCATATTTGTTTTTCGTTCATTGTTTTGTACATAAATCAGTCCGTTTTTCTCGTTTGAATTGTTTTACATTTGTCATTTCGGAGCCTTTTATAGCTGACTATGCAGTATGGGTTTTGCTCATTGTTGAAGGCCGTACGATGACCTATAGTTCTAAACTTCTATGTAATTTAGTCTCTGGTGGAGAATTGTCTCAATTGGTATCATACCACTTTTTCTTATTTTCATACTAGATTAAAAAAAGCAGATGATTCCAATATTGTATGGCCGATGGTCAAATAGGCTTATTTAATGTGGATTGCTGATCTGCCACGATAAAGCTGAAAATTTTCCTGGTTAGCCTGACAGTATGACCAACAACAATCAGTACTCAGTTTTTACAATTCAAGTTCAATTACAACATCAGTTGAATGATAGGCTAATGACACTACATGATTCTGACTGGCAAGGTTTTGTTTGTCTTTGAACTTTGTCCGGTGACTCGCCAACAAGAGTTATTTCGACTTCGCCTCGATGCATATTTGGTCATCCCTGTTGAATTTATTCAGTTGGATAGATTTAATCAGGCTCTTCGACGTCTTATGCTTGAAGTATGAACAACATGAGATGTGAGGTATACGTCCATGCATGAGACACCAACCCAACGACAAAAAACAACTCCAATAAACATTTAGAGGGCAACAAACAGTATTCAACAATAGACAGGTGTCCATACAATATTTCAAGCTCTAAATCACCCACAGGCTTTAAATGTTGTAAATAAGTTACTAGTATACAGAAACAAACAAAGATGTGCCAGCAAAACCCAATTTCAAAGTAACGAAAAATAGATAAAAAGTACGGCAACTACTGACAAGGTTTATGGCATGCCGTTTTACTATTTATTCTAACTTCAAGATATCAAACAAACTTTATAAGATATCTCATATAGCTTATAAGATATCTTATATAGTTTATAAGATATCTTATAAAGTATATAAGATATCTTATAAAGTATATAAGATATCTGATAAAGTATATAAGATATCTGATAAAGTTTATAAGATATCTTATAAAAACTAGATTTATAAGATATCTTATTTATCTTATATATTATATGAGATATCTTATGTATTATATGATATATCTTATATATTATATGAGATATCTTGAAGTTAGAATAAATAGTAAAACGGCTTTCCATAAAGGTTCCTAACAGACAGGAACATGTACACGTGGTGTCCGGTTTGATTTGTGTTATTGCGATGCAATCTTATTGACATGTGCCTCGCATATCTCTATTTATTCATGTGTACGTGTATGTCTTATATTGTTTTTGTGTCGATGCTCAATTATCTGTTTTTCTGTCTATTCTTTGAAATATAGATGTACTAATACATCTTATTATTTATTATACAGAAGTCAACTCGTGTGAAGAAGATGAACTAGAATGCGAAAGATCAGAACAATGCTACCCAAAGGGTTATAAATGTGATGGGCATGCAGACTGTTGGGATGGAACTGATGAATGTGGATGTGACGGTTCGTGACACACATTATTTTTGTTGTTTGTTTATTCATTTGTTTAGTTGGTTGTCCTGTTTCCTTCTGTCGTTCTTTTCTATGAAAGAATGCTACTGAAAAAAGAAGAGATGTGATATGATTTGAGAAATAAATCTACTGTACTGTAATAGAATGAGTAAATAAAAGTCTTATTTTTCTATTATCGTATTCAGCTTTATCCAATATCGACGAAATCCGCGAACAAAGTTATAAGCATCTCAAAGAAATTCACCTTTCAGAAGCTAAAGGACTATGGGTAATATCATAGGAACGATACGTCATTGGTTGAATTTCCATTGTTTACGACGTTTTTAACCTATCACAACGTTTTGATGTACGCTTTTGAAAATATCAACCAGAATGCATGATATTCTGAAACGGCAAATTAAGTGCAGTAGATATAATTTCTAAAGATTTAAGTTTCAGTACTGTTGACAATACAAACTGAGAAAGAGTAGCAACCAATAAAAACAATAACAACAGTTTGTGCACATTTTGCCAATATCTTTCTACCGAGCGATAGCGAGGTGTAAAATGTTTACAAATATAATGCATACTTATTTTAAAATGAGCATAGAGCATGGCATGATTGAATTATTTCGATTCTAAAAGGAAAATTTAGAACTATTATCCTTTAAAGCATTCTTATGTCTATCAAGTGGTACACTGTGTTCCGACTTTTAAAATGTGATTTTTGTGTTTTATTACAGGATATGTTTGTCCAGATAACCGACTGAAATGCCCAGATGATGTTTGTGGAACGGAAGATGGTAAATTGTGTGATGGTCATAGGGATTGTCCACGCAACAAAGACGAAGAAGATTGCGATGGTATGAAACTTTATTCTTTTCTTGTTAGTTCGGGTCCTTGTTTGTCTGAACAACTGAACGTTAATGGTCTGGATTACGTAATTATATGATCAAATAACAAAAGGCTCTTCAAACATTGTACTACTCAGGCCTCGCAGATTTATTTCTTTTTATTTTTCTAAAGAAAATGAACAATCGCCGAAAAACCAAATAAGCTATCTGTTTACTTGCAAATAAATGTATCTAATAGTTTAATCGACAAGTTTAAAGATATATTCGTACGTTCATTAGGTCTTTAAAACAATCATCAAATTATCACTAAAATAATAAAGGAAGAAACTAAGCCAGCAATAAAAAATATAAGATAAATACAGACTTCATGACTAAAAGAAAAAAGAAGAAAATAGAGTCATGACAAGTAACAGTTCAACACACACTAAAGATATATCACGAATTTTATTACAAACCGAGGACAAACAAGGGTGCTCCTGAAAGGAATGCAGTTCATCATTTACTAGTGGCACCCTTCGTGGTTCTCATGAAAAGTACAATTCGATTATGTTGCATTTATTGGTGTTATAAACGAGGGAGGTAAGACAGGATTGCGCATGGCAACGACAAAGCGAAAATATTTGTGGTTATCTGTGACACAAATATTCCGACACACTCGAGATATTTTCCGACATACTCGAAGTATTTTCCGACACACTCAATGTATATTCCGACGCACTCGATGTATTTTTAAACACACTCAATGTATATTCCGACACACTCGAGGTAAACTAATACCAAACTTGCAGAACTTTATCTGTTGACACCGGAATCTTTCCTTATCATATCTTTATAGCGCCTTTAACACCTCAAAATTGGGTTCATGTAGTAAACACAGATGTACATACAAACTAAACCTGTTAGAATTCAATATCGCCGAAATCTTCTCGTTTGTATCTCAGCGGCCACAAAGCAAATTGTTTAATTCAACATTTCAATTAGGAGCCCAAAGTTGCAAAAAATCGCTTTTGATGTGTTACACAATATCTTAAAAATATGATATTGGAACAATCATTGCTCAAGAATAATGGCACTTCAAACTTTGTCAGATAGGACAGCTGATTTGAGAATAGTTACATATTGTATATCTCACCAGGAATTAAGGATACTTTTAATCTTATGAAACTTTTACGCAGTCTTATGCTCATTCAAGAACCGGATAAATTGTCATACAGAATACACTTTTACTGATTTTGACAGTCGTGTAATACGCTCCCGACACAGCTGTTTATTTAATCTTCAAAATATGGAAAGCAAATACAAAATAGCGGATGTCACCCTTCCCCCCATTGCCTCTTAGCGGCAGCCATTTCGAAAATTTTAAACAGTGAATGCACATACATGCATGGCTATACATCTTTCAGTAAATTTTCAGAACATTTGGAGCATTTTGAAATTTTTTTACACATTTTTGCTGTTTCCATGGCAACGGCGGCCATTTGGAAATTCCAAAGTCAAATGTCTCATTTATACTTGCCAGTTAACACTTATATTTAGTTTCATGAAGTTTGGAGCATTTTGAAATTTTTGACATTTTTCCTGGTTTCCATGGTAACAGAGACCATTTTCCAAATTTTAATGACAGATGCCACATTGGTACATTGGAGGGAACATACCATCAAAGTTTCAATGGATTTGACCTACCATTGTAAGAGAGGAAATGCTACTTTAAGGTTTTTGGAGAATTTTGACCTTTTTAGCAGCCACATCTTCACATGCCAGTCAACATTACTGTGAAGTTTCATCAAGTTTGGAGCATCTTGAAATTTTTGAAATTTTTGCTGTTGTTTCCATGGCAACATAGTAGTTTCAATGATTGTCAAAATCAGTCAAAACCTGTATATAGTGGACAACTACATTGTATTAAAATTTAAATTTAAAGTCTAAGCATTCTCAAATTTTTCACCAAACTCCAAAATTTTATTTTTTCACCTTTTTTCGGTTTCCATGGTGATGGCAGCCATTTTTTAGTTCCAAAGTTGCACTGCAACTCTAAAGTCAGGGTTCCTTGTTATAGTGAACTATCATTTATATTGGTTCCTTTGGCTCTGAGAAAACTAGACAAAATTAGGTGGAAGAAAAATAATAATAATAATAATAATAATAATAATAATAATAATAATAATAATAATAATAGGGAAAAAGAAACAGAGGAAAAGCAATATGTCACCCGACATTGTCGATCGGGTGACATAATAAAGAGCTGCGCCATAAGCACATGTTACGCCCGTCGCATTTTCAACGAATAAAATTCCATTACTTCTCAATGTCATATCAGAAATTTATAAAAACAAACTAAAAGGAGCTTATTCTGATAAATATAAACCAGTCACCAAAGTTTCAAAACTGCTCAAAGCATTTTTGAGTTATTGTCCGAAAACTGGAAAATCACCCTTTTCTAATGAATAAAATTCCAGAACTCAAAAACGTAAAATCTAAAATTTATAAAAATCGAAAGGAAGCTTACGTCAATAGATATAAACAATTCACCGAAGTTTCATGACAATTGGTAGAAGCTTTTTTGAGTTATTGTCCGACATGTTGACGACGGACGGACACCGGTATACCATAATACGTCCCGTAAACGGGCGTATAAAAACTATAAAAACAAAAATACTGCTGTAGAAGTTCGCTCTGTGCGATTCTGAGCGTCTTTAAGGTCAACATTTAGTAAATGACCCAAAGATGTTAGCAAAGTATAGGGGATTTTTTTTCTTTCTAAATATTCGATTTTAAAGCTTATTCCACGACCCCATTTCTAAACTATTTAATTAATATTGGCCAAGCATTGAAATATGAAAGTTTAAGAACGAACTAAAACGAACAACGTGTGCATCATATCGAAAAAACAGTCTTCTATTTATCAAATGAGCTGACAGAACATTTCATGTTTGGTGGTTTATTATGTTTTCAAATTTTGATCAGAAATCAAATTTTATGTAATTTTTATTTACAGCATGTGTTGACGATGCTTTTCTCTGCGCAGAGGAAAAAAAATGTATCCCTGGTGATTGGCATTGCGATGGATATAATGATTGCAATGGAGAGGATGAAAAGGACTGTACGGGTAATAAAAATCTTAATTTATTATAATAGTATTAATTTGATTTTGCTATCACACACTTTTAGCTGTCAGGTGCGGGCGGTTCTCGGATTTTGACAAAAGGGGGAAACCCCTGGTAAGCTAATTTTGTAAAATGTCTGTATGCATTTTCCTCTTGGCAATTGTAGACTGGTTCTAATTGGACAAAATGGGCTTCTGTTAAATAACACTTTTGAACAGCTCTCTCTCTAACAAATATAATGGCATTGTTTATAACAAAGTTCCCATCGAACTTCTGTTGACAGTTGTCAAACAGGGTTAAACAACACCCTATCAATGAACGCTCACAGTAATTAAGATCGAGCATTTACTGTATTGTACGTAAAATGTAGTCATAAGTACAGTGTTCGATGTTAGAATGTAAGACAGCATAATTTTCATATCATGAGGTTAAGTGCTTTACATAGCATTTCGGTACCTAAGAAATGAAGTAAACATTTAAGCCGCGTTTCAAAATATAAATTAGCGAATCAGTGCACGTGATATTTATCCCAAAAATACAAGACGCAATGATTAAACAACACTAATAATTTCTATTATTATCAAAAACTCAAATGAGCGAAATTGATAATTTCTATATTACATATTAAGTGTGAAATACAAGTTAATATATTGAATCCCTGCAAAATGAAGAGTGAGTTACAGACTGTAAATCCTTATATTATTAATCGAATATTTTAATAGTTAAAACTTGATCACATGTACATTTGTATTTACTCAGTTTGCACGCCAATACTGTTGTGTTTATAGCTTTTCGTAGGTCAAAAACAGCATATTGCACAGGGCATACAGCATGTTACTAAAAATACACTCTAGAAATCCCCAATTTTACAGTGTTCATGCAATAGTTGTTGATTAATAATATAACAATTATTTCATATTCTACAGAATGTAACGGTGGTGCATTTATGTGTACAGCAGATAGTAAATGTGTTAGGTCGAGCTGGGTATGCGACTCATATCCGGACTGCAGTGACGGCATGGATGACATCGGATGTCCGGATGGTAGGTTTGATATTTCCCTTACAATAGATATCGCTTTCTACGCCTGACTGTTTAGATTTATAAGTTCTACACTCCCTTAGACACTTAACTTCTCTCTATGACAAATGATAGGAATGTGATAATTCCCTTCTGTTTTTAAAATATTGAAAATAGAATATGCAGGTTCATGCAGTTTGCCATATACTCTTTTTCTTATAATTTATTTTACGTGCATGACATCATTAGTGTATAAAACATTATTTATTTATAACATCCTATGTTTTTCTTCTATTTTCGATTATACGCCATAAAAAGCTTAAACATGATTTTAAAATTTTTTTCAATGTGAAAAAAAGCGCTGAAGCGCAACATACACTGCGAGTTACATCGCGCGAAGTCAACACGATTTTCAGATGGACATATGATGTTAAGAGTGGAATATGATGTTTTGTTTAATGTCACTTTGGATAGTTTCAACCCATTGCATCTTTTTTTAGCTATTTATATTTACATACAGTGGAATAAATAAATTTCATGCCATCAAATTTAATTTTGAGGCCAAAAATGGGCAATATTGCCGGCTGTGTTTTTCTCGAGTTTTTATCATTTACTTCATTGATGTTTACAATTTATATGTACCTCTTTGTATTAACATTTGATGGACTTTTTTCTCTTTTAGATGGGTGTGGTAATGATGAATTTGCATGTTTCCTTCCTCCTCCAAGTTACCCGGATTGTGTTTCCAAGGACAAAATAAACGATGGCACTAATGATTGTGGAGACTGCTCTGATGAGGCGTATGATGAATCTTGTGTGCCTGGGGGTATGTTAATGATACACGTTTACTATTTTTTTTCCATATAATTGTGTTTAATTTTGTCAATATAACGGAACTATAAACAGCTGTCATACAAGTGGGAGGTTTAGCTAGCTATAAAACCAGGTTTAACCCACCATTTTTTTTCGGAAAATGCCTGTACCAAGTCAGGAATATGACAGTTGTTTTTCACTCGTTCCGTTGATTAATAACTTTTGATTTCGTCAGTTTGTATGGACTTCCTCTTTATGGATTTACCTTGGAATTAGGTATTTTTATTATACTTTTTCATAAATTATTCTGATAATTATATTGTTTCTGAATAAATTGTTTCGGGTGACTAACAGTTTTGGAAACGTTAGACCAGGACCAGCATTAATATGTTGACAGTTTGATTTCATTTGTGTGGTCTCTTGACCGTGTTTTTATAAGCTATCATGGTGCTATGTCCATAACTATTGTTTTCGGGGACATCAAGTATTTTGACAGGCTAGGCAAATATAACCGTTCTTGACATCAAAGAGTTTGGCAGCCTATGCAAAGATAATAGTTCTTAACATCAATGATTTTGACAGCCTAGGCAAATTTTACCGTTCTTGACATCAAAGATTTTGACAGTCTAGGCAAATATAACCGTTCTTGTTATCAAAGAGTGTGACAATCTAGGCAAATATAACCGTTCTTGAGATCAAAGAGTGTTACAGTCTGGTAAAGGCTATCGTTCTTGACTTTAAATAGTGTGACAGCGTACACAAATATAACCTTTCTTGATGACAAAGATTGTGATGGCTTAGAAAGAAAAACAATTCCAGTAAAACAGAGCGTTATTTGAATCATCAATTGAACGTTGTTTGTTCTACATCTAGTGGTAAATATTTCATGCATATTATAGACGACAGTGTAAATTGAAGCAATCATCATACCTAAATACACATAATCATTGATTGACTATTGTTTGTATTCGCAGTGTGAAATATTTAATGTTAATTTATGTTTTAGTCTGCCTTTTTCTGAAGAAGTCTCTTACATATACCACCTGTTCTATTACTTATGTTTATGTACAAGAATTCAATAATTACGCAACGCAATGTGTGTAGCTCATAATGATATAGACGTAATATTTATGAATCTTACAGATATTAATACATGTACATATATCTCATAAGAGTATCTCTACTGGGGAATTGTAATTATAAGAATTCTATCCTGGACCATATTTTGTTCGTTGTTGTTAGTCATTGTATGTATGTATGTATGTATGTATGTTTGTATGTATGTATGTATGTATGTATGTATGTATGTACGTTATTTCCTCCGTTATGCGAAGCACCCCTCTAGACCTGCGAGGGTATAGTGGAATCCGTGTACACTCTCTACAAGGTAAATGGGGATTTGTCGTTAACTTCTATAAAACCCACCACCACAAACAATCCCCAACCCAACACAAAGGGAGTGTTAGGACACCGGGAAGTATGTTATTATGGTGGAGGAAACCGAATTACCGGGCTCCTCAGCGGAAACGGACAAACCAAAGAGATATCTACAGATTGATCTCATGTCAAAGCTGGGTGCCACTTTGACCAACCGAGGCCCCCAAAGTACCCCTTCTAGTTAAACCTCCGGTCCAGGTACAAGGGCTGTGTGTGAGAGGGTGATACATGTATATTGAAATTTCCAGCGCCCTGAGTCAGGATTGAACCCGGGACCTTCAGTACTGTAGGTAACGGTCTTAACCACTGAGCCACGCACCCATATGTCATTGTTTTTACGTCTGTTTTGTTCGAAGGAGTCCCGCGCTAGTGATTGATGTGGTCTGTCTAGTATATGTGGTGATTCTTGTTAACCTTTTTTAGTATTTCTTATTTATTTTAGGACCACCAGGACCACCAGGACCACCAGGACCACCAGGACCACCGACACCACCTGGAGAACGAAGTTTACTAAAAGCTGGCCGCCGTGGACAAAGAAAGAAGAACGACGAAGATAGAGTGAACACCATAGCCCGCGGCCATAAAAATATTGATGCACATAGGCAAATTCTGAGAAGAGGAAAATCTCATTTGAAGGACAACTTGCGAGAATATCTATTACGCAGTAAGACTGATGATAGACTAGCTAACCGAATACTTGGCCGTAGAGACAGAGAAGAAAGAAGAAGGGACAAGAAGTGAAAATGACTATCTTATCTAGACTTTAATTGCATTTCTTCACATACTGGTCTTTTTTCATTTTTTATGTATTTTTATTATAACATTATTGCATAGATTAGGGCAATATTGTGTATAGTTTATTTAGGATCACATGTCGCTAAACATTAGAAAAACCCGCTCCTTGAACTTTGATCACAGAAAATGTTCCTGTGTTCTAAATCTCAGATTCATTACTTCCTACGCATCACTGTAATGTGTATAACATATTCAACTTTTAGCAATAAATTACATGCAGCAAATATTTTCATGTTCAGGTTAATAATTATCAATACAATAATGGAAGTATATATCTAATTTAAAAAAAAATAAAGAAGGATGTGTCTGACGACACGAATGCCCCACTCAAGCTTTGCAATTTTTCAAGTAAAAAAGGGGCATAATTCTAGAACTGTAAGTGACTCACTGCCAAAATTCAAACTCTGTCTGCGAGTTTAAGTTATTAGCATTGTGTATGAGTTTCATAGAATTAGAAGTTAGAGTGCAGAATCAAACATAGGACGGACGGACGGAAAGACGGACGGTCAAGTGTAAAACTTAAAGCCCCCATTGACTACGGCGGGAGCATAAAAATCATAGCATGCCATAAAATGTCTTAAAAAACAGGATTAACTTCTCGTTGGGATAGTTATTGACAATTTATAGAGTAATATGCAGGATTTACAATCAAGCAGACCATCAACATGAATTGAAAATGGAGCCCCAACATGTCAGTTCAGCTTTAAATTATTGAAAGCATTTTTTCGCACGCTTCAGTGTGATTGTCGGGCTGATTTATATAACTGTATATGTTTGATTTCTTTGCCAGGTTTATTTTAACAATATTACTTTATGGCTTTGTTCTTCGATTCACAGTTATGGCGCGTGATCGTCAGTTTGCAAAGAATTCCGATCAAACCGGTGCTAGGGGCCGTCTTTACTTGCAGTGAGGTCAGAGCTTTTGCTCGTGTTGAAGGCATCACTGTAACTTTGAGATGAAGAACAGCAATAAAATCGTTGTTCCTTTGCTTTTTAATTGTCTTTTTTTTATGCTGTGCGTGTACTGGTTTTGTGTCATGGATGGATATCCCATATTTTTTTCCTAATAATCAGCATACTTTATCAGCTGTACTGAAAGCATATGAATAAAAAGGGAGACGTTGGTTGTAAATCAATGAGACAGAAGCACTACAAACATAAAAAGACATAAATGTCAGGATAAGGTCTTAAATGAATGACTGTCAATACCATATGTCACAAACTTGCATTTTTTTAAAAGAATAATTTTATAAATCGTCCTCTTATTCCCGATTGTGGCATAACTGAATGTGACTTATCATCGATAATTTGTACTTACCATGAGAAATATGAAGATCAACCCCAGATTATGATGGGATTCGTGTTTCTCCGTCTTAGTTTTTATATGTAGTGTATTTTGGACTTATTTGTCTTTTCGTCGGTTGTCGTTTTTGTCTTGGCGTTGAAATATCTCTTCGTCTTGCGAGTTTTGAATGTCCTCTTTGTATCCCCCGCTTAATTTTGTCGAGCTTCCCACATTCATGTCGAAAAAGCGAGCTTTAGCGCTCCTAGATTCCGTCGTTGGCGTCGGCGTCGTCAACATTTAGGTTTAGTCTATGTCGTTTATCTGTGGTTAAAGATTTTTGAGACATCAATAACTCAAACTTTTATGGTATTTTATGAAATTTGGATAAAAGCTTTTTTATGACCTAAAGACGTTATCAAGAGCACTTTTGGAAAATGTTAATTTGAAATTTTTCCGTATTTTACTGTTTTGCCTCCATTGATACAGACAGAGACATATATACACATATATGCAGAGGCAGATTTAGGGGGAGGGGGGCAGGGGGCCCGGGCCCCCTTTTGTTGGGAAAAATTTGGTTGATTATATAGGGAATCACTGAAGTATGACTGGAGCGGGCCCCCTCTTAGGCAGTCAGCGGGCCCCCACTTATGAAAATTTCTGGATCCGCCACTGATATGTGATTGTCTGTGATACAATAAAGTTAATGGGGTAAATCAGCAATTTCAGTTTGATAGCACGCTTTATTCCTTTCAGTTTACGTGCACACGCTATTGTTCTGTAGTCTGTCCAATAGAATTTTTTTTTAAATCAATCACATTATCTGTAATTTTTTGTAGGATATCCTTAAATATAAAACATGAGTCTCCAATTCTCAAAACGTCCATTGCATTTGCGCGTATGCAATCCGACACCTCATCCGGGATACTTTTCGCGTCACATGACATTGCTGCTGATATTGAACATTTGGGCATGCGCAAACGGATGGCCGGAAAATAGATTTTTGCGTGAACCCCTGAGGGTTCACGCATATATATATATATATATGTATATATATATTGGTTGTTTTTGTAGTCTTTCGGAATACAGAAAGTCTCTACTGTCTTTTCGGAATACACTTGTTTTTTCTATGGCCACCTGCGAAATAGGTAATTAATTGATCTAATGAATATTCATTAGCTATTATAAGTTGCCTTAGAGATAAGTATTTATCGAGACTAATTGATATCCTACATCAGTACTGAGTTCATTAATTAGAGATGCATATGTAAGCTGTCTTCACATTTTAACTTAGCCATTTTAGTTATATTAAAAAAAAGTGCAGTCCTTTTAAGCAGCTATCAAAATTCTACGTCCAGGAAAGATACGAAAAGAAAAAAAGTTAATATTTATAATTAAACTTCTGTAAATTAAAACTACATAGGTGGAATTGCTTTTTATTTTACCTAATGAAGTTATCATAATCGTTTCAAGAGGAATCCCAGCAGACATTTGACGTTGTATAAACATCAATCTAATGTCAGGCCCTAACGTTGCACCTACGTTAGATTTTGGTTCCATATGAATTTTTTAGACGTCAAAAACTGACGTCCGCCCAACGTCCTGACATACGTCCGTTCAACGTCTGTACAATGTAGTTACAACATTAGTACAACATTAACGTTGGAACAAATTCAGATCAACCAGCAGGATGAACCCAAATTAGGATTTTCCGCGTATGTGCAACGTCTAATCAACGTCATAACAACCACTATAACCCTCTTTAAATATCCTCAGATGTCTGTACAACGTCTAATCAACGTCAAAACAACGACTATTAACCCTCTTTAAATATCCTCAGATGTCTGTAAAACGTCTAATCAACGTCAAAACAACGACTATTAACCCTCTTTAAATATCCTCAGATGTCTGTAAAACGTCTAATCAACGACTATTAACCCTCTTTAAATATCCTCAGATGTCTGCACAACGTCTAATCAACGTCATAACAACCACTATTAACACTCTTTAAATATCCTCAGATGTCCGTACAACGTCTTATCAACGTCATAACAACCACTATTAACCCTCTTTAAATATCCTCAGATGTCTTCACAACTAATTAAAAACCAAAGTAAATCCTTATCAAAGTACTTAAATTGGACAACTTAAGGTCAAAGAAACAATAATTCATACAACGTCCTTAATTAGTGCTTTAACATCTTTAAAACCTCAGAAAATCATTCCTTCCAACAAATTTTGGTAACCTTAGAATTCAGTGCTTGTGGGCATGTCTCCACAACTACTTTGCCGTTGACCAGGGGTTTAAAAATTATGTGGAAAGAGCTACTTAAACTTTACACAGTTAGACATATATATATATATATGTTTTCAATTTAGACTTGTTTATATTTTTTCGTTTGGGCTTGTATTATATTTTCCCTCGGGTTTATATGATCCGTTCATCCTATTTCGGCTCTTTAAAATTCAAGAGTCTATCCTAAATTGAGGTAAATTGTATGGTTTTCCAAATACCGTTTCGATCCCTAACATCACTAAAGAGACATTAATTGTCGAAATCCGGATATGGTGTACAAATTTTTGCACCTCATGTTTGTGGTATACAATCTTTTCTGCAAGTTTGTTGTTTTCTGTTTGGTATTAAATTAATATTAAGATCCATTTCGACAAAGAAATTTGGTTTACATGCTTAACAAATTTCTTGGTAGAGGGGTCTAAATACATACAGCACAAACAACATTTTCCAAAAGACCAAAAAAGTGAAAAGGAAATTTTAACAAAACGCATTTGACTAGCAGGTCGAACAACGGATGTTCTTAAACCCTGCTATATTTATAGCTAGTTGGTCTAGCGAAATATTGCGTTTATTTTTATCGTTTTGTAAATATTTTAAACATTCTAATATTTACAAACTAAATAGTGTGTTAAAATTACATTGTTAGGCAATCTATAGTTTTATTTTGTAATTGTATTAATCCACACTCCCATAGATTTGTATGTCATGTGTTGGTATTTATATATAGGCACTTATATTATTATCTCTTCAGTAACACGCATTTCACAAATGTTTGTGTAATCCATTCAAATCTATCGCTATCTTTACAACATGGATAGCGCACTGCATTTTAAGAAATTAAGATCTTTAACTAAAAAGAAACTACAAACTGAACATCATATATCAAACTTAAAACATTACTTTAAAAGTAGAACTGTCCCAAAAGGTTTAAACATCAAAGTGAGTCCCCAGGCACCGGGACATAAATCCAAAAGGTTCATGAGCCGTTGGAATGAAATTCTGTTTAACTGTTCAATCCAGCTTCTTCAACTGTTACTTTCTTTTACATTCTTTTGAATGGCTGTTCTGTCTAGCCAATATACTGCATGCCACATCGACACTGAAGAAGGTATACAACATTCTGTGTTTTACAAGTTACATTACAAAATATAGTGTACACAGAATGTTGTATACCTTTTTCAGTGTCGATGTGGCATGCAGTATATTGGCGAGACAGAACAGCCATTCAACAAACGCATGAATGGTCATCGAAGTGACTACAACTGCAAGCCCGACCTCCCCTTAAGTCGTCATTTGAGATCATCTGGGCACGCCCAAGCTGATCTCAAAAACCATACAATCACAATCATAGACCACAACGAGGGTTGGTCAAGGGCCGAAAGACTTGCTCTGGAAAGGTTTTGGATAAGAAAGCTAAGGACAGTTTCCCCAAAGGGCATAAATGAAATAACATAGAATGAGTCACTCATTTTCCCTACCATCACTCATTTTCCTGACATCATTTGTTTCCAGTTACTCCGGCTTCCTTACTTGACTCTTACAGTTTTAAGGATTCTTTTGGAATTTTTTGAATTTTACTAGTTTAAATACTAGGGTTCTTTTCATTTGGTAGGGATGTACAAGTACGCATCCACGTCCATTTTTTTTA